CTTAGTGGGTTCAAATGTTTGTTTGCCAACTCTTCTTTGAGTGGCTCTTTGTCCTCTCTTTTTTCCTCCTTTCTACTTCGTGTTTCCTTTCCTCCTCACCTTTTCTGTCCTCGCTGTTCGCTGTTTCTTTCTTGAAGGCACAGTTTTTGATAATTTTGGGTAATCCAGATGTGACGAAAAATGGAAGATAAGATGGAAAATACTGCGAAAAGGGCGAAAAACTGCGTGAATCGCTGTTCCCTAAGTGAAAAAAGGCTTCGAAAAATCGTTAAAAAGGGGCTGGACGAGAATGAGACCAGAGCAATGAAGAAGAATGGGGTGTTTTGTCGAGCTACACAATGTGTGCCACTGCTTATGTATGGGTCCTGGTGGGAATAGCTGGCTACGGTAAGCAAAAATTTATTTGCTTATAAGCATATGTTAACAAAAAACCCTAGCAACAGCAAAAATAGCCCACCTCTTCCAGCCTCTTGGGGTAGAGAATTAAGTAAGAGGCTGCAGCAGCAAAAAGAGTAGCAGAGAGTAAAAGAATGGGGGGAAACGTCGCCCCATCACTTGACGATCAGCTGATTGTGTGTGGGTCCTAGAACGAACATTGCAATCTGTATCGCCTCGACACTCGTCTGACGTGACACTGATCGAGATGGCGGGAAGTCCGGGCGATCCGGTGACGGGGCTCTCACTAAGCCCTAGCTTTCGAGTTTGATCGAGATGGCGGGAAGTCCGGGCGATCCGGTGACGGGGCTCTCACTAAGCCCTAGCTTTCGAGTTTTGGAACTCGACAGCGTCCTTTTTGTTACCCTTGGGGACCATTGGGTATGCCTAGGAGGGGAACTCAGAAACGATTTTTATCGTGAACTGTGCCCTTAATCACCTTCCAAAATTTCCTCACCTTTCAAGAAAGGCCGTTCTTTGTGGTAAAAATGTTCCTTAGCAGGCCGCAGATAATTATACACCAACTAGAATACAAAGCCACTTTTTATCTTATATTTTCCCTTGTATTTTCGTATATCATACCATCTCGAATGCGTACTTGTTTACGTTCATACCTTTTTATACCCCTTACTTGATCGCTCTCCTTGCATACACCATTTCAGCACGCTAGTCTTACAAACGGCACCATCAACTCCTTCACCTATTTCTGTAAATTTTTTTCCAGCAGTGCTGGTGGTTCAGTGGTTTTCTTATAACTCCGATGGTAACGGAGTAAAAATACAACAACTAATGTAATAAGTGCGGACGTTACCACAATGAAAACGTAGAAGAATGGCTAATAGTACTTTATCTAATAATACAACCTACGTCTTGCCCTTGACGTTGTTAGAGGTAGAAGTGGGGACCACGCTTTTTGGTGGTCCCGCTTGACCCCGTATCATT